ATTGATACGAATAACCGAAAAGCTCGCTCTTCGCTCCGTGCAGAAGACGATTGAAGAAAATCACGCGTCGGCGCGCATTTCGAGAATGGCGACGCGAGCGAGCGCGTATCATCACGCGAATAAGACGGTTTATTTATCGGTCGAAATTTGATCGATGACGACGACGCGACATCGCAACGTCGAGAGAGGGAATATTTACGCTGACCCTTCGAAAAACATATCCCTCTTTCGCCGGTACAGATAGTGTGCCGTTGCCGCCGCCGGTGTAAGAAGTAAATCACAAAAATGGAAATCCACGATATCGGATTGGAATCAATATTGAATGCAGATTGAATCCCAGGCTCTCTCACTCTCCTGCATTTTTCCCTTTTTTTTTTTTCCCTCCGCGCGTCTCTAGTCGCGGCGGGGTCGCGCGAGAGGGCGAAAAGGTGCGGAGTGACGGCTTCCATTAGGAAAAAGTGACTTACGGCACCGATCGACAACGAAAGGCACTTTTCGTCCTGCCTGAAATGTCAAGCTGGTTCGCGAAAATTTTATGCGTAACAAAGGTTACCATCTGACATGACTGAGAATCGAGAATGTAGACATCATATACAGCGCGAAAGGGACCGATGTGACGCTGGTCGGTCGTACGTCACCTCTTCATGAATTCGCCTCTGTATCATCGTATTCTCTCCTTCGCATTTTTGTGCGCAAAAAATATTAATTATTATTGAACAAAAACGATAAAAAATCAGAAAGTTTATATTATTAGATTTAAAAAAAAAAACTCGCGAGACGCTTCGCCTGACTTCAAAAATAACAACGCGTAGTAACTTCTTTTCTCTCATCACCGTGACAGTGTACGTGGCACGTGATCAGGAGAACCTGAGGGGATCCCGTCTCCTAACGGTCCAATGCCCGGCATTACTATTTGATGAGATAAAAAGCGCCGCGGTGGCCTCGGCTCGTGAATTTTTAAGGGAGCCTCCGCGCAAGGTACCTTCGAGTTTCCGAGGTTAGGGGGTGTCGATACCCCCGGGACACCGGCAGTCTTCTGTCTTTAATATTTAAACGCGGTAAATTATACGATTCCTTGCATACACTGATCTTTCTTCCACTTTCTCCATTTTGTCCTGTCTCCGTCGCACCGACGTTGATCCGCGTAAATGTTTTTCTATTTGCCACTACGAAGAAAGTATCCATAAATATGTACGACTACTTTCACTTTTATTATTTATAAGCAGAAATATAGCATTTTCAACGTCGTCCTCGCACACAAATTACAGCAAAAAGTACGCGATATTTTTAGCAAAAGTGTAACTTAAAAGATTAATTGAATAATTTACGTTGAATCTCTTATGGACGGGGACGAAGGAATGAAGTTTTATAAAAACACACGATTATCTGGAGATAATTACGATCTTGTTTGCACGTTTTCAATGCCACGTTTATAATCGCTCGGCGAGAAGAGATACTCGCTGAAAGCGCAGTGGCTGAAAAGGCGAAAATCAGCGTCGGCATCCGACAAAGACCGAGACGGTACAGTGTATCTTCGTTCGAGGAAGCTAATCATCCGTTTCTTGCATGCAACAGAGAAACACACTGATATACACACACGCACACATTCATGCGCGCAGGAATTTCCAACGCGCACGAGACTCGCGGCGATGATTAAACCCGGAACGTAACGAAGAAGAAGGACGGGCGGAGAAACGAGAGTTCGCGAAGCGATGACAACCTCTGGGCGTTCCTCTCGTGGCACCATCACCTTGCCAAGAGAGCTTAATCAACCCGGCTCGAAAGTCTAAAGCCATCACCCATGCGCCACTCGGCGGCACCGTAAGCCTTCGAACGAGGAAGCGAATGAGAGGCTTTTCGACTGATCCGCAGTAGAGACGAGTATAAAGAATCGAGCGCATCGACCCTAAAATGGGACGTAAATACACTTCACAGTGTATTTTTGTTTAAAACACACGTACACACACTTACACTATATATATATATATAGTGTGTGTATATATATATCTTACAAAGATATATATATATATATATCTTTGCTATTCTGGCAAATATTACTTGTGATGAATTGACTTATGAATTTGCTAATCGAAAATATTGAAATTTTCGCAAATATCCACCTATGTGTCTTCTGACATGATAAACAACGTGAAACTGATGGTAATCACACGAAGGGAAGGTGCCAGTTAAACTCTGTCGCGGAAATGATAGGGGAAAATCCGCGACAACCAGATTCCCGGAGTTTAGGAGGTAGGACACACACATATACACCAGGCGCGGGCGAGATGATGGGAGATATTTCTGTTTAATAGTCGGCGTATCACGCCGGTAATGGAAGTCGAGGCGTTTGCATGCCGGGAGGCACGCCGTTGCTATATAAAGTTAATGGCATCGTAGACGGCACGATAAAATGACGCATCGCGGCCTGGCGACAATATTATTGCCAACAGCTGTACCTGCACATATCCCTGTTTCGACGTTCTCTCACCCCCTTTACACGGAAAAAAGGGTTACACGTTATATTTTATTTTATTTTTTTTTATCTCGACCATATTCCTCAGCGATCTCCAGCGAATCGAATCGTGCGAGTCCGATTAAGACGTTGAGTCACGTTTTACGATTCCGTCATAAAGTTTCCACCTGACGTCACTTGCTACCGAACGTGCGCGAGTATAAAATCGCCGCTCGGGTTATTTTATTAAAACCGAATGCGCATAATTCGCGCGCCCGAAAATCGTAATCTTTTATGACTTATATGCGGTCGGTTCTGAAAAATAGGAGCACACATATACGTTCTAATGTTCGTATCGCGAACGTGTGGCACGTGAGGAACTCTCTCTTTCCGTATATCTCTCCTTCTCTCCGTTTTCATCTCCGCCGCGCGTGATTTTCTCTTTCGCTGTTTCTCGCCGCGCGCGCCGTCTTCGCAGCCGCTATCTCCGTGCCAGGCTCACCGGATTGTAATGATTAGTATAACGAGAAGATTCGTGCCGGAGGTCTTACGAGGTGAAGCGCGCACGGAGACCGAGAATTCGCTTCGCTTTTAATTACCGCCGAGCTGTGTACACCGGAGCGCGCCTTAATGCACCGCGGTGCTTAACGAGTAATATGTCGTTATCAACGCTAAGGTGGCGGGGGATCGTTAAATGATTCTAACGATATTTCCCGGGGGTGGAATATGCGCGAGCCGAATCGCGTGTCTCTGCAGCTTTAGAGGTAACCGGCGCGGCGATCGGGAGAGAAGAAGATATTTTAGATCGATCGAATTCGGAATCAATGGAAGAAGCCGCTGCGCTGAATCAAGGAGAATAATACGGGCGCGAGTCAGATGGAAATAAGACGAGCCCGCGAGGTCCGTAATCCGTTATCACTGGCTGGCGCTATTGTTTCTCGCACTGGCGCGCACGCACTCATCGGAAATTATCCCGACGGGGTCGAAAGTTGCCGCACAGTTCCCGCGCCGCTCTCCGTTGAGAACAGACTCCGTTTGTAAGTGGATTATGTTTATAATGGGCCACTCCAAGTCCGTTCTGAATATTGCGACCGCGGCGCGCGGTATATATACGGTATATGTATACGCCGCGGTAAATCATGTTCGTATCCACTTGAACCGCGCGTCGCCTGGATTCCCGCCAATGTACATTCTATCCGACAAATTGCGCGCGGGATGTGACTTTCGGTGCTCTCAGCAAGACTCGTATGTAGAAACAATATTGTATATTTATTCGCACCGCAATGCGGGTATTTTAGTACGTTACAGTTGGCGCGGAGTGTTGTAACGCCGGCGAGTTCATTCACTTTGAAATGTAAAATTGCGAAAGACGCCGCAACGCGCGCGATCGATACGATTTTTTTCTCTCTCTCTCTCTCTCAGTTTTACTGTCGCGCATCCTGTACATGCAAGAGCTCGTCTCTCTATAAAAAAAAAAAAAAAAGAGAGAAAGAGAGAGAGAGAGAAAAAGCTGAATCACAAATAATCACGGTTTTTTCTACTCTGCGGAAACCGCTGATGATTTAACGTCCTCTTTGGTCCGCACTCGACGTGATTCCTCGTCCGGTCGCCGAACGATTCTTTCGGTAATTTATTGGTCGTAGATCAACGTCCCGCAGTTTCGGCTCGCCCTTACGTTCGGTCGGGAACAATATCGAGGATCGGGCTTCGTTTCTGGTTGTGACACTCGACTGGCACACGCGACGTCCGCAGGAGATCGATCGTTAGGTCCAACGCGTTTCGGACGATTGACTGTGCAAACGAACCGCTTCCTGCAACCGTGATCGCATCTACCGAACGCGCACAAACACGAAACGCGCCGTAGAAAGGAGAGACGATGCTCGGTCAACGTGACCGTCGCGCAAACGTACGTGCTCTTACGAAACTAATTCCTCCCCGAAATTGTTTCGCGCAAGAACATCGCGTCACACAAACGCCGAATGTAACACGCGAAGAACATTTCGCGAAATGTTGTACGTGAAATAACGTTGGAACGCAATTTGAGCACTCTCTCCGAAAAGGAGAGGGTAGTTTCATTGTTTTCAGTCGCGCGTGAAGATTCTCCCATCTATGCTGCGAATAGTGACCTTATTTTGGCGCGCTTTGTAGCACCTTTTCCCGCTTACATGTTCTACCAAAGGGTCGCGTAACACACTGAGCTTGCAAAATGTGAAGCACGCACTCGCGACGCTCTCTCTCTCTCTCTCTCTCTCCCTGTCTCTTTCTCTCGTAGGGTCAAGTGACGTCGAGCGGTCGTCCGTAAGAAAGAAGCACCTTGCCAAGAGGAACAGTCACGGGGACTTACCTCGAAAGGGCCGTGTAATTATAGCACCTTGTTCAATTTTCTGTTTCAACGTGCTGTTTCGAGCGTGAAATGTGCTCGACTGTGTGTTTTCAACGCGCGGCAAAGATATTATATATGTGACATTTTTTTTAATTTAGCCAACGCTTCTCTCAAAGCTTGCAAATCTTTTTACAATCTAACCCGTGTGTTTTCTCTTTGTTGCAGAGAGACGCCCTGAATCTGGAACCCAGCAATGTGGCAAATTGTGTGTCCAAAGGCAAATCGGAGGTGAGTCTCTCTTTCGCGCTCTCTCTCTTTTAGCGCACTGCGCAATGAGCTATATCTTTGAGACAAAATTTTTAATTCCGTACCGAGACGCAAATTGTTTCGAGCGCGTCCTAGAAAAAAACGGGAAACAACAAAGAGTTGTGTGATTGCAAGAAAAGTCGTCGAACGTAATGTCGAGTCGCCAGCACGTCGTGTCGGGTCGAAATAAAAAGGACCGTGTTCCCTTTGAGACGCGCAGAGATGATAGCAGACAGATGGAAGCTTTCGCTTTTTATTAGACATATTGCGGATGTCGCTCGAATTCGAGAAAGAAAATGTGCCTGCGTATATCTGCAATGTAAATGAAAAGGGAAAAATATTACTATAGTTTTTTTTCTTTTTTTATACACAATCCGCATTGAGTTTTATCGCCGTGTTCTAATTTCTAAATTACTGTGTAATTACGAAAGATTCCGTTATATATCCATGTAATTGACATCAACTCAGATACGGTTTAAAAATATTACCGCGAGATATAAATATTGCATTAGCGAGATGAAAAAAAAGCTTCTTTGCGCGTTACGAGCTTTCTTATTATAGTGCGCGGCCATGTGATATCTTGGTCAACAATTAAGGTTAATCGTGAAACGCTCCCCGAGCCGCGCGTCCATTTTTATTCATAGCTCGGAATCGCATTCTCTGCGGGCACGGGACGCGATAAAACGGGGCACGATCGCGTTCTGACTCGTAGACGCGACCGCGAGCGCGCAAGAGCGCGCGCGCGCGTGCGCTTATCACGACGGACTTCATTCGTATGCGCCGTGTACGCGTCGTCGTCGAGGTGTAAGGTCCACGCAAATATTCCCTACGTGACGACAAAGCCAATTCATTTTCCGCTCGCCGATTTGCAGCGAAATACGCGCGCGACGTGCTCTTTCGCGTTTTCCCACTTTTCCGAAAAGTCCAGCGAGGAGAGAAGTGCACGGAAGTGTCTTCTCTGCGAAAAAAAAAACGCTGCGAAACTATTTCTCTCCTTACGCGTATCTCTCGCCGTTGAATTTAATTCTCTTCTCTATCTTTTTTTTTTCCAGCATTTTGACTGCCGAAATCACATAAGAGTGATCCAGCCGATGGGCGACGGCAATCGGCTTTACATGTGCGGCACGAACGCGCACTCGCCTAAGGACTGGGTGATTTATGTAAGTTTTTACCGAGAAAGTTGACTGGTGGAATATGTAGCACATTTACGATCAATCCCAAGTTTGTAAAAATATATTATTTACCTACAGATTGACATGTATATTTATCCGTTAGGTTAATTTATAAAACTTTCTCAATCGCAATGCACACGATAAGATTTTTCTTTTTTCCAAATAGCAATATTAAAAATTAAAATAATATTTGCGCTGCTAGTGCTTTCTCACGTCGTTTGATTGTTTTTTACACGTTTACGTATATTGCAGTGTACACTAAGCGAATACGTTAAATTGCATTTTGTATTACGCGACAGTTCGAGATTGGATTGCTCACTTGTTAAAACCGACAATTGGGCTTCACAAAGAGTACAAAAAAAAAAAAAAAAAAAAATTCTTGTATACGTTTAAACGTTTGTCACCATTTGTTTATTGAAAGAGCTGCGCGAAAATATATATGTATATGTACGTATAAAATAATTTTCAAATACAATATATCCAGAATTCTCTTGAAATGTATTACAAAATCAACGTGATACGCGCGCAAGGCATGCCGATTTGTGCTGTTTTACGCTTAATTTAATTAATTAATAACGGAACACGGAGAAGCATCTGAAAATAATATCGTTAATTAATTTTCACGTTTCGAATAAATTTCACCTCCACTCCACACCTTCCTACGGTCGGAAATATTTAATTCCCGTCGGAAATATTTAATGATTTATGTTATTATTAGAGAAAAATTTACCATGAATATCGATATAATAGTGGAAAATTCGCGTAATACGATTCGCACACAATCTCGCAAAGCGCAATCGTCAGAACTACCGAAAGAGGGATGACAGGAAGAACGAGATAAATCTTACGTTCGAGTGTTCGTGTAACGACACGAAAAGTTACATCAATCTCGCTTTGCCAAACATTATGAGCCCCAAGCGTACTGTAACATCTCGTGTAATAATAACGCTCGGTTGCTTACATAAGCTGCTGCCCTGAAATTGTGGCTTCTAAATAAAGTTAGGCTACCTTAGAACACACATTCTGTATCACGCTCGCGAACGAGAGAGCAAATATTACACATATAATATTACATATGCAAACAGCATATATACATATTTTGCGAATTTCTTACACAAAGCATTTTAAAATTATTTTTCTATATCCTTTGATAAACTCAAAATTAACATTTCTCCAAAGGATTTAATTAAATACTATCTTGTTTCATAACTTTATTAGCCCCGCTAAATGAAGAGAGAGTAGCTTGATAATATTAATGTTAAGAGAAAACTTTTGTTACAATAAATTCCCATTTAAAACCTCCCTCCTCTTAGACTCCGCGGCGTTTTTATTATTAGCGTCCATTTCTGACCTCGCACCCTTCGAATGATGTTTTTCCAGAGCAATCTGACTCACTTACCGCGTCACGAGTTCGTACCGGGGGTGGGAATGGGCATCGCAAAGTGCCCTTACGACCCTGCGGACAATTCGACGGCGGTCTGGGTCGAGAAGGGCAATCCTGGGGACTTGCCAGCTCTTTATTCCGGCACCAACGCCGAGTTCACCAAAGCCGATACCGTAATCTTTCGCACGGATCTCTACAATTTGACTACCGGCCGTAAGGCGTTCAGTTTCAAGAGGACGCTCAAGTATGATTCCAAGTGGCTTGACAGTAAGTATCTTTCTGCAAACGACGTTATTATCTAAGATAATCACCGATAGTTTCGTTTACGCACGGAAATGTCAAAGATGATAATGTTTCAGAATATCTCGCGACCTTGCATTAATATATTTTGGACTATTTAATGAAAATGTTTTTCTCTCTCTCTCTTTTAAATATAAAAATATAAAATGTAAAATAAAATATAAAATATATTATATATAAACATAAAATATAAAATATAAAATACAAAAAAATATAAAATATAAAATAGAAAAAAATATAAAATATATTTCTTGTAATTATACTTCTCTTTCCTCGTATCGCTGTCAATTGCCACTTTCATCAGATATTCTATCAGACGTGCTTACTTAGATCTCCGCGCCTCACAGAGAAACCTTTACTCGAAACCCGATAATTACGTCGTGTCGGGGCAACAATGAAGTTTCCATTAGGCTTAGAGGGCGTAGCATTAACGAAAAGAGAGGGGGTTACGTTTGGGATCGGCTAAAAAGCGAAGCAGGTCTTCCCGAAGAAACCACGCAGGAAGGGGCGCTGCTTAGGAAATAGACGGAGAACGCTTTGAAGTAGAATCCCCCCCGATATTCAGCTTCGGCTGTACACGCTTCGGGTTCAAATGGATGCGAATAAACCTGCCCCGCCTATTTTCCGAGGGTACCCGTTGCCTTTCCTCGCCGACGTGTAAGAAGACTTGCACGTAAAAGCAGAGGGAACGGACGTGGCGGGAGGTTGGACTACGAGTAGAATTATAGGAGTTTGAAGGGCGGTGTCGGCACACTAGATGCCCGCTATCGGTTCGGTTAAAAAAAAAAAGTGCCGGATCTTGGTACTTTTTTTCTCTCTCTTTCTCTCTCTCTCTCTCTCTCTTTCTCTCTCACTACGAGCGAGGTAATAAAATAACATCCCCGACGAGCGATCCTCCTCGTCTTAAACGCCTCGTCCTTTGGCGAAGTGCTCTCCTCTTGCTCCGGGGAAAGGAGAGAAAACGAGCTCGACCGAAGAAGTTAAAGTTTTCCCGCCGGAAACTACACTCCCCTGCCTCCGGTGCGCCGCGTACACTTCGCAGGCCCCGAGTTTTAATCAGTTTTACCGGCTCCCTGATTCGTCGGCCCGGGATTATTGCGATTCTCTCGATTTTTCGTTATCGGGACGGCGGAAACGTGAGGGGGCGCGGTAAGAGAGAAAGAGCGGCCCGGCAAGGAAATTGGAAAATGTAGATTAGGACGTGCGTCGAATATAGACACACAATCCAACATGGAATTTAATAGCGTAACTCGCGAGAGGTGGAGGCGGTGTGCGCGCGCGCGCGCTGATTTGCGATGATCAAGTGTAAATAGAATCCGATTCGTTAGGTTCGTCGGCCGTGACGGGACACGAGAAATACGCGGAAAATTTAGTTACACGAGAGTTTAATATCGAAATTTTGTCTATTCGAAAAACGCTCGACTGATGTGTGTCAGCCACGGTTTGAAATAATAATTGTTCGAACAGTATTGTTCCGTAATTTACGTTTTTTTCTTTTCTTGCCTATAGCGCGACGGGATGTTTATTATATTGAGCAGTTTATTGCGTTTGAAAGCGTCGGAAAATGTATGTAAATTTCCATCGACCAAAAATTTTAATTCACCGCCAATTATGTCGGCGGAAATTGCTTTTTTCTTTCAGACCGTGTGGGGGGAAAGTAGGTTGCTGGAATAGAACATAATTTTAACTTTCCGTCCTTGTCGCGCCCACAATCCTTCCGCCGTAAGCGTTCGCGCGCGACACGCCGGCGCGGAATAATGGTGCGGGACGGTTAGGTGGCTGCTTTGTATTTCTCGAGGGGGCTGCTTCCGCTTTTCCTCACTCCGGCGAAGCGTGCCGCCACTCGAGCCACTCGCTCCTTCAGCCGCTCTGTCGTCGGGGTAAGAAGAGTAAGGGTCGCTCGCGATACTCTCGGAACGAAGCAAAAGCCGGAGGGCGGGCGTGGCGGACGACTTTGTCCCACTTTGTATCTTTCGCGCCCTCCCGCGGGACGCATGATTAGCCATTTGTTTCGTCGTTTAATTTCGAGCCGGCAGCCCTTTCGTTACTCTCTGCTGCCGCCGCCACCGCCTACACTCCACCTACGCCGTCACCTTGATTCAGATCCTCTGAGAGAGTGAGACAGAGACAGAGAGAGAGAGAGAGAGAGAGAGAGAGACTTGCCGAGAGCCATCAAGGACTATTCTCCGCATCGAGTTTGTCTATTAACAGAGGCGTTGATTAAATGCAGGCGGGAGTACCGGAAGAGACGGATGGTCTCCACGCGCGCCCCTCGCAGTCTCTGCGACTCCCCGACTCTACGAACCTCTCTCCCTCTCATCCCTTCTTTCCTCGCGGTCTCTCTTTCTTGCTTCTGCTCGACGATGAGACGGGCGCGCAATGAAGACTGATGTGGTTCGTGGCGCGAGGCCGTGATAAGGAAACCGGCCCCGGGTGGATGAATCGCGGCAGGAAAGGGAGACGAAGAAAAATAGAGAGTAAAACGCAGCGAACTTAACAAGCTCTGAATAACTAGCTGACGAACGTCTACTTTCACGGATCTTTGCGCATGTAAACTCATGCTTGACATTCTCGTCTTCTTCTTCTTCTTCTTCTTCTTCATCCTCTTCAACTTCCTGCACGTTTAACTGTCATAAAATGGATTCTGAACGCTTTATAACGAGACGCTCTTCTTCTTCTTCTTTTTCTTTTTTTTTTTTTTTTTTTTTTAAACAGGATGATAACGGCGAGCATTTTGGAACTGTCGCATGTCGTTCCGACATGTCAAAATCGTAGAAAATACGTAATCAAAACTTATCTCACTCTTCGCGACGCTTCCTCGTTTCTGTCGTTCTTTCCCTTCCGATCTCGCCGATCGTCTCTTCACACGAGACCTGTACCGCCTCAATATATCAAACTTCCGCCGTCGGAGCGTCAGACAATCGATTTAATCACTGAACCGTGAGGGAGATTGCGGCGGTCTTCAGCCGAACGCCGTTGCATAATGTAAAATCGACAAGAAGAGAACGCGGTGACGCGATTCGAACGCGGAAAAATTCGATTTCCTTCGCCATTTTCTCGCGTCACCAAACTTCGAGTTTTGAGGGAGGAAGAGAGAGAGAGAAAGACCATTATACAAGATAAACCAGTTTCCTCGGCGCAACAAGCAATTATACCAAGATTAAAGCGATTTCGAGTTTGCTCACATGTTGAGATTGCATCACGCGTCACTTGATTTTCACGTCCGAACTACGCGCTGTTTCGACACGCAGGCGAAATAAAAGTCGCACGCGTTGCATTTTCGCTTTAATGCAACGAATTTAAAATTCGTTTGATAAAAACAAAGAAACAAACAAAAACCAAATCAGCGAAACGACGGGACAAATTAAAGTTGATCCTGCAGTAAATTATTTCCGACAGATCTCCGAGATGATAACTACGTGATACTTTTCAAGTCGTTCGAACTTTCGAACACGTCTGTCGGCGAGAGGAGGTCGCAATCCGTTGCGAAGTTATTTCAGACTTTTTTCTCGCGCAACTTATCTCATTCGAAGATGATGACCGAACTTATAACTCAACTACGCGAAGCCCAATGATAAAGACGACTCAATGGCGCCATACAACTCGGCGTGTACAGTTTTTCCAAGTCGCTTAATTTCTACTCCATGTAAATTGCGATTCAATTTCGGTCACACGCGCGTTGCCCGCTCGATTGAATTTTAACTCTTTTATTTGTTAAAAAATAATTTCGCGCAAGCAACAAAATTGCGGAATTATGCGGTTTTGTTTTGAATTCAGTTCAACCGCGGGTTTTTCTTTTGAAGAAATGCAATCAAAGCGCATTGTTTCCAATCTAGTTCTATTTCTTTCGTTTTTTTTTGACGAGGGAAGGAGAGGGTTATTTTTGCTTTCTCTTGCAAGCGGGTGCAAAGTAATATCGTTCCGCTACGAAATACCTGTGCGGTAAACGGAATTCGTGGAGATTATTGTCCGGAGCTCAAACAGTTCCGGCGATGAAAGTTTTTATGCACGATAACGGAGCAAGGACACATCGCGCAACCGCCCGCGGCGAACACTCGAATCGCGATCATTATTACGCGCGATTATTGCGAAGTTTCCTACGCGAACTATCTGCTAGTAGACGCGGTTATTTTGGCGCGGAATGAGATAGATGCTAGAACGGCTAGATTGCGCGAGCTAACAATCTCGTTCGAAATATTCCGGACGTGTGTTTTGCAACTGAGAGATATGGAAGAAAGAGAGAGAGAGAGAGAAAAAGACACACACACACACACACACATGAAACGCTGATTGAAACACGAGTCCAAAAAAACACACGCCGAAAAAGCTTAGAAGATTAATGACGAAGCATCTCTGTCTTTTCGCTTTTTTCAGAACCAAATTTTGTCGGATCGTATGATATCGGCAGCCACGTGTTCTTCTTTTTCCGCGAGACCGCGGTCGAATATATAAACTGCGGTAAAAGTGTGTATTCCCGCGTGGCGCGAGTTTGCAAAAGAGACACCGGCGGTAAAAACATACTCGCGCAAAATTGGGCCACGTACCTCAAGGCCAGATTGAATTGCTCGATACCCGGCGAGTTTCCATTTTACTTCAACGAAATACGTGAGTATACAACAGCGCATTGTGTGCATAACACAAGCGTATCTCTCTACAGTTTTTCTCCAGATGGTTTTTATTGTAAGATAATTTTATTATTTGTTTTCATCTTATCCGCTAAGTCGAGTAGTTATGAAAATAGTGTAATTGTTCTCTATTTCAACTTTTCAGAAGAGTTTTTACACGGAAAAAATGGATAAAGTACAAAAAATTTTATTAACGCAAAACACTTTTTAAAGAAAAATTGTTCGTTTTTTCTCCTTTTACTGTAATATTCAAGCTCTTTCCCGTAGTGTTAGTAGTGTTATGTAACGTTTTATGTTGTTACGTTCTTGCTCAGAGAGCATTTACAAGGTGCCTGGTGACGACACACATTTTTACGGTACCTTCACCACGTCGACGAACGGACTAATGGGTTCCGCGATATGTTCCTTCCACATTGACGCCATTCAAGAGGCTTTTCGTGGCAAGTTCAAAGAGCAAGCGACCAGCAGTAGCGCGTGGCTACCGGTCTTGTCCAACAAGGTGCCAGAACCGCGACCGGGCCAGTGTGTCAACGACACGGAGTCGTTGCCGGACACCGTTCTGAATTTCATAAGATCCCATCCGCTAATGGACTCCGCGATCTCGCACGAGAACGAGAAGCCAGTTTTCTACAAGCGAGACGTTATGTTCACGCGATTGGTCGTCGATAAATTGCGCATCGACTTTGTGGGAACCGATCTCGAGTACACGGTTTACTACGCCGGCTCCAGTAAGCATTATGTGCGATCTAATCAATTTATTTATTTATTGACAGAATTGATTATTAAACACCGTCGGATTCTCGTCGCGTGTTTACAGGTGACGGTCGAGTTCACAAGGTTGTACAGTGGGTCGACAGTAACGACGAATCCCAGTCCCGGTCGATTCTGCTGGACGTTTTTGACGTCACGCCGGGCGAACCGATACAAGCGATGGAGATCTCAAAGGAGCACAAGGCTCTCTACGTGGCGTCGGATCATCGGATAAAGCAGATCGATCTGGTGATGTGCACTCGGCGTTACGACAACTGCCTGCGATGTGTTCACGATCCGTACTGCGGATGGGACAAGGACACGAACACGTGCAAACCTTACGAACCTGGGTGAGTTGTGCTTTTTTTTTTTCCTTTATGTTTTTTTACCGAGCGTGACTCGATCGCGAAATTACACATATAAATGCAGCGAATTATTGTAATAATTTCACGCGAAATGCGCATGCGCGCATTATGAACAACAAAGAGCGAAACGTATTTCATTTTTCTGTCATAATTCACTCGCTTAATTACAAATTACGCCACACGAGCTTTAGAACGAAAATATTCGCGCCAATTTTACGCATTGTATATTCCAGTTACCGCACACAGATTCATTTTCGTCGGTGAAACGAAATACTTTTACGAAACAAAAAAAAAACCATCCAACAAAAAAAAAATAAAACAAGAAAAGAGAGAAATTGCAGCTGGCGAATCAAAATTCAATTTTGCCGAATATTCGCGAAATTAAATTGCGGAAACGCGTATGAATATTGGAGAGATTACACATATTTGCGACTCGAATTTTTGTCATACGTGGCGAGATAACTTTCGACTTCGTTTCGCGCGCAGGCTTCTCCAGGACGTGTCGAACAGCACGGCGGACGTTTGCGACAGCAGCGTCGGCAAGCGCAAGCTCGTCGTAACGTGGGGACAGTCGGTCCACTTGGGATGCTTCGTGAAGATGCCGGAAGTGCTGGCGAACCAGGAGGTACGGTGGTATCATTACAGCAAGGAGAAGGGCAAGTATCAAATCGCGTACAAATACGGCGCTGGCGGGGACAAATTTATCGAGACCTCGGAGAAAGGTCTCGTGATTGTCGGCGTGAACGAGCAGGACGCCGGTAGATACGACTGCTGGCTCGGCGGCGCTTTACTGTGCTCGTACAACATCACCGTGGACGCGCACAGATGTTCCGCCCCCGCCAAATCCAACGACTACCAGAAGATTTATTCGGACTGGTGTCACGAATTCGAGAAGTACAAGTCGGCGATGAAGAGTTGGGAAAGAAAGCAAGCGGTAAGTCGAAGATCCTGGCCTTTTTTCATCTCGAGCGACATAACAATTAATAATAACTTCGTCGTCTAATGATTTTCTTCGTAACGTCGCGCGGAAAGAAAACATATTCACATTTTCAACCGCGAGCGAAATAAACGTTTTGTCACATCACGGGCGCACGATATTCATATCATCGTCCGTCATGTATGGAGTTGTCATAAACCGTTATCGAAATTTGCATTGCAAAGTGACATACAATTCAGCGAATACTGTGCGTATATTTAGTTATCTTTATATGCATCGGTGCGAGGGCGGAAATTAAATATTTATCACGAAATTGCGACGTGGAGGTACAGTTCATTGTGGGAAAACATCTATAGGCGTTTACGCGTATACATATTGATATGTATATTTCTCTATTGCTCCTCTCTCTCTCTCTCTCTCACTCTCTTTTTCAATAAATATAATTTTACAGTTGATAAAAACAGCAAATGAGAATTATACTGTAATCGTTCGAAATCATGCATTCTTTGATGCATTATTCAATGACAACTTTTATGCGTACGGAAAATCAATTCAATTTGCACGGCGAAGTTATTATTGTGGCCCAATTTTACGTACCGTAAATATTTACCGTCGCTATGCAAAAGCAATTATTATATAATTTCGATAATCATGATAAAATTACATTGGTTTAATCATTTTCGGTACTCCGACAATTATATCACAATTTGTTATGATATCCCTGATTTCGCGAAACAATTTCGCAGCGTATAAAACGATCGTAGTAAACTCGGGTGCTTCGAACACGTGGCACAACGACGGGTAACACGTCGCACGATATATCTGTTGTTACAATACATTAGGGACTCGCGGAGTGTCGCATCTCCCTTTACAACATCGGCACGCGTTTTTTTTTTTCTGTTGCAGCAATGCGCCTCGAGGCAGAACGACAGCAATCAGAACATACACACGAACGAGGTGTACGGCACGCCCCTCGTCTGATGGAGTCGATCGTTGGGTCCCACGTCGAGCCGAGATCACGATGACACGATGATACGAATTAGCGTCCCGCCGAGGAATCGCGGCTGGACCACGACCGGCTGGATCGGCCTGACCTTCCTGTTGGCCGGTCACGTCGCCGCGCTCGGCCCGCTCGTCACTCGAGGACTGTCAAACGACTGAGACGCAATTACCGCGAATCGGTGAACTTGAAACCAAGTGCGAAGGGACGTACACGCGTGATCGATCGTGTATACAGTTATATATATATACATATATATATATATATATATATATATATTTTAGTGCCACTGTGCCCGAGACCCTCTCTCGTCGCACTGCCGATCGCGAAACGGCCATCTCGTTTATTACACGAGCGATCGGTGACCCGCGAGGTATTTCAGTTTCGTTCTCGTTCGTGCATTTCACTTTCCGTTTACGTACATAGGATTTTTTACTACTCGCCTCGCTGTAAATAGATGTGTCGCGTACGAGCCGCGAAAAAGAGAATCCAAACGCGCGGAGTGTTCTCGGTGATGACGTAATATCGCGAATGTGATGGAACAATCTCCGGCTCGTAATATCCGCAAAGCAGTGACATTCCTCGGAAATAAACGAACAATGTTTCTTGGATATTTAATTAATTTGCGGAACGAGTTGCGGGGGAGAGTTTTAACCGTGTACATACGATATCAGAACGTAGCCTCGTTTGCGGCAGACAATGCAATGTTGATCACGATATCAACGTAATGAGATATCGATTATCAATACGACGCCGAGATTAAGCGGTTCGTCGAGGAGAGAAGGGCGCGTTCTTCTGCAGTTTTTTTCGCATCTGTGATAGGAGCGACCGAAGAGCGAAATCGAGGCGGAGTTTTCCCGACGACGGCGACGAGGGAGCGCTAATAGAAGAGGAGAACAACCGCAAAACGCTGAGAGGAGTCGGTATATAAGCGTTGGTCGAGGAAAGGAAGGTAAAATGTCGCGTCACAAAGGAAAAAAAACGCAAAAAGACAAAAAAAACAAAAAAACAAAAACCGAAAACGTGGCCAACCGACGGCGCGTTTACGACGTCACGCAGGTTACATATGAGATTATTATCGGCTTAGAGAGACCTTCGTGCGAGCCGCGCTGCACTCGCGCGACACTGGTTAGCTTTCCATATCACGTTCGCCACTTTTGCCGCGCGCACACGCCTATTTTCTACTTGCACATCTACCCACTCCGGGCCTCCTTCACACAAACACACCACTTCGCCACATCGCGTTTCCTTCATTTTTCCTTCATATATCGCATCTCGACGATCGCGCGAGCCACCACCTCCCTCCCCCCCCGCCTGTTATCTTTTGTTTGCGGGGAGAACCTTCGTGCCGTTCCGATCATCGCGCCATTATTCTTCGCATACCTATCTGGAGACACGGCGCGGAACGACCGCGCGATGACGACGCGGTTTTCGTCCTCGCGCGCGCGCGCGCGTATACATTGTATCGGCAAAAAATCGCGTCGTACACTCGCGTGTCGCGAGAAACTATCGTCGTCGTCGTCGTCGTTGTTGTCGCGTTCCAGTTCGCGAAAAATCACCTCGAGAGCGCGCACACGCCGGGCGTCGAGGGCATCGTCGAGAATTCTCCTGCAACCAAGGTGCTACACGGATCTATTTCCCCCGGATGAAAGCTGGATAAAAAGACTCGTAGTCTTGAGACTCGCGTATACACACATCCCTTTCAGCGTATCCCCCGTCTCCTTTCATCTGATTCTTTCCTCAAACTGTAGGCAGCGTCATTAGATTACACGCGGACGAGCGTGAAAGTATCGAGAGCGGATGAGATTTAATTATCGTGAAAACGATATAAGAAGCAGGTCATTCCCAATGGGAGCGAAAATATACACGCGAAAAGCCAAGTTTTTTTTTTGCGTTAGTTACTAAAACAAGTTTTTTTTCGTGTAGAATCCTAATAAATAAAAACAGAAATACATCCGAATTTTTGATGCAGTTGTCCGCGGTTTTGATACTTTTTCTCTCGCGCGATTACAACTAAGTAAATACGAACGCGCGTGTGAAATACAAGAAGATCTTTGGACACTTATCCCTAGACATGTGTAATCTTCAAAAAACGCATAAAAACGTTCTGCTTCTACGTGTAGACAGCAGAGAACAACTTATTGGGCCTATACACTGATATATATATATGTATATATATATACACACCCACACATATATATATATACATATATATATATACACATATACATATATATATATATAGGTATATGTATATATATGTTTTATGATATATTTTTATCAGATATATTTAACAGTATCTCTTGGCAATAAAACAAAAAATTTGACTAGACAGACAATTTTTCTTATTTTTTTTTTATGTAAGTCGTGTTGTTCTTTCTTAAACAATTAAACGAACAACAGAAGCGTCTGAAGATATATATATATGTCCGGGGATACTGTTTTCTTTTTTTTGCTTTTTTTTTTATTTTACACGCGCGTGTACGAGAAACGCGCCCGACGAGCGACTTCGGCGATCGTTGTGTACGCGCCGATGCGCTCTATGTACATAATACCGGACTTAGAAGTCACGTGTACACACTTTCCGTAGATAAGTCCAATATTAGCATTAGGGTATACGTGTTTGCTTATTAGTTTTCGATGAAACGGTCAGATCTCTCGTTGCATCCTGCGGCATCGATGCGCCGAGTAAACCGGCGCAGCGATCGCCACCATCATCATCATCATCATCATCATTATCATTATCATCATCATCATCATCATCATCATCATCACTACCACCACCACCACCACCACCACCACCATTACCACCACCTTAACTGAACGCGCGGTGCTGGGGCACATCGAGGCGAGCGATCGTTTCGACGACTTCCGGGGGCTCGAAGCTGCGCGGTCGAGTCAAGCATTCGCGTATTTTTACGCGCACTTATATACTTCAACGTACGATATACAGAGGCTAAATACGTGTTAGACTGGATCTCGAGCCTATAGCGCGGCGTCCGTGAAATCTGCTTCTCGAGAAACAAAAAAAAAAAAAAAAAAAACTAGAGTTTTGACGTATGTCGTTTTATACTCGGTTCGTTTTAACCGATGTTCACCCGCTGTCCGATTTCTTTCGCTCTTACATCATGCATGTTACACCGCCGGATTTTTTTTCGTTACCGCTCGGTTTTCCACGACGCGAGAAACGAGCGTTTCTAACTCTTTGTGATTGTCTGTACATATAGATATAATAGCGTTATATTTTTATAAAAAATAAAAACGACAAGAAAGATTTACTGAAAAAAACTAACGACACATGCTTTCAATCTATTATCCGTGTTTTGCCTGTTCGCACTCACAACCCCGAGTTTGATCGCGGAAAAACAAAAACAAAAAAAACAAAAAAAAAACTGTCTCCGGATAACGTGTAAATGAATATTTTTTGAAACGCGCGCGCGGGAAACACTGACAGGAAATTCAATTGCGTCGCGCTTCACCGCTAATTTTGCGAATGCACATACGTCCTCGTTTTGCAATCGTCCATGAAAAAATATGACGCAGGCTCACACTGTGTAGCGAAATTAGCGTTCGTGTTAGCGTCCGTCCGACTTTTCCTCGGAGATCGACATACATTTTGTAATCAACGCCCGACAACAAATATATACGGTCGTCTACCGGTGCTCATTTGGCGCGGTTTGTCGAACGATCGACGTAACGAGAGAGCACCCCAGCCAGCCCATAATCAGCATGTAAACACGTAAAACACGTATGTAGCGCTATTAAAAGAGAATAGTAAATAAGGGAGGTCATGACGCCTTTCTTTGCGCGTGAATTTTTCGGTTTCCTCTGGATCAGCATCGGTGACAAGTTTCTTTTACTTTTTTAAGTATGTACATAGACATTTTTTGTGTATGTCGTCGTGTAATGTCCGCGAAAGAGAGCATCTTTGATGAAATTCAGCAGCGCGGAGAGATGCCCGATCGAGCCTAGGTGCGACTGTTATAAATTGTGTACAGAAATTGTCGCGATCGACGATTTTAATTTTTGTAACCTATTAAAGGCTCAACATTCTATGTAAACGCGATGGCGCGCGGTGAAGAGAGAAAGAAGAAAAAAAAAACTCCGATCTCCGACGGTTTCCTGATCACCTAAAACTAGAGAAGACTTAGGAGTGTAAGAGTAACACAATAATCGGTTAATCTAATCCTCGAGTATGTACTTACTTATATGAGCTTCAACAAGTATTGAATAGTATTATGACGTAAGAATTAAGATACTAGAGACACGTTAAGGATATATGAAAAAAAAAAAAAAATAATAATAATAATAAAAATAAAACTGACTTTCCGACCGACCGGCCAGCCGCGACGTCGCGCGGATCGACGAGGATCACGAATCGGCGCCTCGAGAGGAGAGAGTTTGCGTGACGTCTCTGAAAAATCGCTCGCGCGGCCTTTCGCGTTCTCGCGGCGCAATAGACTCGGAGGCTTCTCGTCGATCCGTTTGGTTCACTCGTACCTACAAATCATCCCTCAAATTCCTTTTAAAAACGACGTCCCGGGTCGACGTGCCGGGATCGCAGACGCGTCTGTGGATTGTAGAAAGAAAAAAAAGGCTGGTCGAGAGAGCGCGTGCATGCGTGTGAATAGTGCGTGCGAGTAGATGATCGCGTGAATGTCACCGGATTGATACGTAAAGAATAGTAATCTACCACCTATCGTATATCTAAAGAAAGTTATAAAAAAAAAAAAAGAGTAAAAGCAAACGTAATATTACAAGAATAGAATAGTGAAGTAACTTTGGCTAAGAGCGCCTTCGTGCAGTCCTTCGCGGTCGTTGTCAACCGCGTAATATAACCAAATGTAAAAGAAGACGTGTATCGATCGGCACGATAAGTGGTCATTCCTGGAAGAGCCCGAGCGCGACCCGACGCGAGTGCACGAGGGCGCACTTGCGGGTTGGAGTAGGCGTGATCACGGAAAGCAATCTAAGTTGAACTTAAAGTTGTTAGATATATTATTTGTAAGATTACTGTATGTTGCGTGAATGCGATTGATGCGGCGGGATATCGCGAGCGGATCGATTCGACGTGGGAAAAGTTGGGGAGAGACTCAGACAATCGGGGGCAAGTTTGTCGATGCGCGCACATTTCAAATGAAAAAAAAAAAAAAAAAAAAAAAAAAAAAAAAAAGAAAAAAGAAAAAAAAACATAAACGAAGGGAAAATAGAGGAGTAGAACTTGCGAGCGCGTCGCATGCGAAATCCCAGTTGATTATCCCGCAACGTCGACCGCGATGGCGAGATAGACTATAGCTCGGTTTAATGTATGCGAATACGAGACGATTTTGGATAACAGATCATGATAGTTACTCGCGTAAGGGAGACGCGAAAGGAAACGCCCTAACCGAATAATTAGTTACGACGATATACTACTACGATATGAAGGAGAAAGGAAGAAGAGAGGATAGTCGATAACGATTTATTAAAATATATCACTAGGACTATAGCCGACGACTGTCTTAGGTTTCGAAGTATCGGAGGCGTTAGACTCGTTTCTCGGGGGATGGGAAAGGGTGGGATGGGACGGGGAAGGATTTGCTACACACATTGCACTGTGTCTTCACTTTCTTCTTTTTTTTTTTTTTTTTTTTCTTTCTTATCCCGAGTATCACGAAACGCGGAAGAACGAGAATGATCCGTTGACTAATTTCCTCTTAATTTCGTTTCCGCCATTCTTTTCGCTCTCGTGTGTCACCGGCGCCGTTTTTTTTTCTCGCGTGACCGTTTTTCTTTCTCCTCTCGATTTTTCGGTTTTTTTTAAACGATATATCTTGCCTTAAAGAAGAAAATTAGAGCGCGTGAACCCCGCGCGCGAGATTAATAGTCCATTCGTATCGTGGAAAACTCATTCTTCATCATCGCCGTATTTTTCTTCGTTCTTTCGGTTCACTTCTTTTTTTGCATTCTGCTCGTTCATGTCGACAGCAGAGCGATCAAGGGTGGAAATTAGGACCGGGCGGTGGCGCGCCGTGAGTCGTTTGAAGCTCGTAGGAGACGATATATACCGCTTACAGGAATTCAATTTAGCCGCACGGTAAGGGACAGGATCCGCATCGCTCGGGGTAAACGCCGCAAGGCGTGCATCGGCGGCATCGGCAGTTTTGTTTATGGAACGCACTCGTGAATATCGATCTCTCCCTCGAAGCGACCCGCGAAATTATTCTGTTTGTTTGTATCGGGCGATATGTTTATCGATTAAATTAATTCAGCCGCGTGTGCGTCATTTTGTTGAGCGCACACGCATAGCTTTTTTCAGAAAGTTGCATTTTTTCAGCGTCGTGCAAAATGTTGCGTATAAAAAAACCGCTCTTTACACAAAGACCCGACTTTGTATTGCGTAAAGAATTTGTCCGGAAAAATTCTGTAAATTTGTCTTTGAAGAATGTTGCGAGCGGATTCTTCGTCGCGAGAGAATTTAATGTACACTGTAAATGTTTTTTTTGTTTGGTTTTTAACTGTTCACATCTTTTTTATTGTAATCAAATATGTCATGTACGATCGATCGGTTCACGGTACGCGTCGTCTAGAAATTCAGACTTATCGACGTATCTGCGGTTATCATCGTTAGTAAACACGACCGTAGACAAAAATTTTTAGTTCAAAGAATTTCGTAAACGATAAGAGACCCTTTTAGATATTCACCTATTACCTAAACATCCAATCGCTATTTTTATCAAAAAAAACATGTTAAAAATCTTTAATAGTTATCCATTGTTCACTATTGCTATAATAAAGTTTTGCTTTAATAAATGATTGATTCGTATGTTGTTCATATTTTTATCCACAAATCCTACTTCCGTGAAAAAAAAATCGATGCGCAATAAATTCTCTTTTTGTTTGTTAAGAATGAAATATCTATACTTATTGTAGTTTTTGTTCAAACAACACTCAAATCGCACCCGGACGAAAAGGCAAAAGAAGACTTCGAGATTCAGGTAAGGTCAACGTCGGTGCTAGATTCCGACGGAATAGTCGCGAAGACAGCTTGTAAACACTTAATTTCGAATGCTTTCCAGCTCGTTGGCGCTTTCGACGATAGGGATATAGGCACAAAATTCGTGACGCGACAAAACGCAATCAGCGAACCGCGAGGAAAAGGATTGAAACGCCGCCGGGAGCGACTACGAGCCCGTTGTCGTTCGCGCAACCCTCGCTCCGCTCGAGCGTCGTTCGA